GCTGTGATCTAGGTCTAGTAGCACTGGGGATAGCGTGTGAACTGGAAGGAATCCCAGTGCAGCCTTCCTCATTTTGTAGATGTGGAAACCCAGGCTCAGAGAGGGTTAGTGACTTGTCCAAGGATAGAGCTCATAGCAGCAGAGGCATGAACTGGGGTCTCCTGGACTTCCAGACTCTACTCTGTCTTGAACATTGTCCGTCAATGTTCCCACCTACCTGGATCCTTGGTTTGCCCCTTTATGGGTTCTAAAAGTCACCAACAGTGAGCCGGATGAGAGTAGTACCCTGTTGCAAGCAGCCATCAAGTCCAGGCGGCAACTCTGAAGCGTGGGACTGGAGCCCCAGGGCTCCCTGCCAGCAAGGGAAGGCTGTGTCCCTAGCCCAAGCTGGTTTGTTTCCCTCCTGCACAACAGTAAAAGGAAAGGAGTGAGAATCCACACTGCAGGCCCTGAGACTGCCAGAGCTAATCCTTCTGAAGAAGCCATGTGTACGATGCAGAGCAGGGCCTGCCTGGCCCAGAGATGAGCTTGCAGAGTCAGGAAGGGTAGGGGTACCAGGAGGGTGCACCAGGTTGAGCTATGCCTATGTGTGCACCCAGGAAGGCAGGGGTGGGGGGTGGACATGCAGATAGTCCCTCTGACTGGTGGCTGGAATGCCAGGGTTCCCTCTGCTACCTGTTAGCCCTTGTGAACTTGAGGTGTAACCGCTAGAGCCTGTTTGCCAAGCTGCAAAATGGAAATGCTAAGAATCTCCTTCACAGGGTTGTTAAAAAGAGCCCACCACTCTGGCAGGCTGAGGCAGGAGGATCACAGCATGACCTTGTCTCAAAATAAAAAAAAATAAGAAGGGCTGAGGATATGCTTGGTACAAAGGCCCTGGGTCCAATCCCCAATACTGAAAAAAACCCAAGAAGAATAAACCAATGCATGTGAATGTTCTCTGGGAGACACAGCACAGAGCATGGAGGTGGGGGTCGGAGGGGGTGAGTTGTACTGCTCCCCTGGGCTCGGTGACACTGGGGGGTACAGGCAGCAAAGGGTCTGGGGTAGAAAAGGGCAGGTGTGACCCCCTGCCCGTGACTACCCTGCCTATGACTTCCTCGCTTCCCTGGCTGCCTAAGGCAGCACTAAATCAGGTCACTGCTCTTGGCTTCTTGCAGTAGCTGTCCTGCAAACGGCTCCAATCCAGGCACGGTCTCCCACCCACTCTGGGCCCCAGCAGCCAAGACATCCGGGTTGCTCCATGCCTTTGTTCTCCAGCAAGCGCTGTTCATTAGGGCCTGGCTGTGTGCCTCACACTAGGCTAGCAATTTAAGAAGTAACAGGCACACTCTGCCCTGTGTGATACGGCTGACCCGTCAGAGAGAACCTCTTTCAGAGATACGATCATCTCCTTTCTAAGTAAGGAAACTGAGGCTCAGGTGAGGTAAGTATCTCATGCAAATGGAGAGCCAGGGCTGAAATGGAGGTCTGGCTGCTTTTAGCCAGAGATCATGTGCTTCGAGGTCTGGAAGCAGACGGGGTAGTGGAGCCGGGCGCCAGGGGCAGGAAGTACCTAGTGACCTCACAGAATATCAAGTCGCTCGAGACTCACAGTGAAGAGGATGCTGGAACTGAGGGAGAGGAGGGGAGGTGTGGAGTGTGTGGAAGGAGGTTACACACACACACAATGTCACACACACAGACCACACATGGATCAGGCCGACAGGCACCCATGGACACATACAAAGGCCCAAGGGACAGGGACATACATGAACACACACTATAAAAGGCATACAGCCTCAGCTGTACACAAAAGACACAGACGGAGACACCTGAGATTGACACCTATCAGACATACAGGCGGCCCCAGAGACATGGTGACTCGCCCCCCCCCCCCACGCACCCTTTGGAGGGAAGGGAAGGAAGAGCGGCTGCCTCATATCCGGGCATCCTCATCTAAAGCGGAGGGGAAAAGCCTTCCCCAGAAGTGCTGAGTCAGCAGCGGGTGACAAATGAGCCTTGGGCGGCGCCCGGCACCGGCTAGAGCCCTTTGCATGCGGAGCGCGTGCTCGTCAGCGCCAGCCCCCGGCCAGCGGCTGCCCGCCAGCCCCAGGGAGGCCCGCGGGAGGAAGTGACTCGCTTTGACTTTGCAAACGCCGGGACTTTGCAGCCCAAGGTCACGCAGCAGGCACCGCCAGCCAGTTTCCTGCATGGAGGCGGGGTGAGCTCGGGCTGGCTCCAGGCTGCGTCGGCCAGGACTGGGAGGGGCCTGCGCAGGTGGGGGAGGTGAGCAGCAGGCGGCCCTCCTGGGGTGGCACGGTCCAGCCGAAGGACTGCGAGACTGAGAGGAGGATGCCTGAGTGCTAAAGGCCTGATCCTCAGGCAATGAGTCTGAGTAGGGGCTGAGGCTCCTTGTAGCCCTTACTGAAGGCTGCCACCCCGGGTTGATTGGTTAGGAGGGTACATCGCAGCACACCAGGCCTGCTCATCTCCCTCTAGTCTGCTGGTCTATTCCTCACCGAGCAGCGAGCAGACCTTCACAAAACATCAGTCACAATCATACCGTTTCCTCCTATGCCTTTGCGTTCCGCTTAGGACAAATTCAGCCCCTTGAAGTGGTAACTTATCCTTGGCCACTACTGACTTTGAAAGGAATGGCTGTAAAAGTGACTCTGAGAACGTTTGCGACAAGGGCTGTTCCGACACCAGGCCCTGCTTCCAGCTTATTCCCACCAAAGCACTTGATGTCTCCTGTGTCCACCATGTTTTTGTGGCTGGCTCAAGCCCCAGTGCCAGCATCACCTCCCTTGAGAGACCTTCCTGGGCCGTCCCCCTCAGACCGTTGATCTGTTTACTTCCTTCATAGCTTCTCCACTCTCTAAATTTTTATTTTGTTGGCTTCTTTGTCTTTCCACTCCTCTCCTTCAATAAAAGCTCTTGACAGCAAAGTCTTTTGTTATTTTGTTTGGCCCTGCAGTGTAGCCAGAGCCTAGAATTGCATCTGGGACATGGTGGGTGCCAAGCCACATTAAATACATGTGCACAGATGAGCGACAGCCTGCCCGCACACAGCCTCGGGGACACATGTGTAAGGAGAGGGCCAGGGCTATGTGTATAGGGGGTGTTTGTGTGCAGGGCCTGTGAGTTGCAGCTGGAAACAGACCTGGCTGACCCCCACCCCCACCCCAACAGCAAGTTATTCATTATCTGGGGAAAGAATGGACAGAACTCTCAAATGCCACTTCCTCTCCAGGCCTACTCCTAAAACAGTTGGCCCTGCCAGGGAGTCCAGGAGGGGAGAATTCCTTTCCTTTGGAGCATCTTGGACTGCTGCAGGTACCATGATGGAGATGACCACTATGTTTCTGTTCCAGGTCCTGCCAGATGTGCCTTAGTTTCCCCCTTGGGCTCTGCTGCTCAAAGGTAGATTGAGCAGTGAAGGAATCTGGCAAAGCTACAAAGTATTTGTTTCAGCTTTCTGGCTTCCCTGGACTCAGAGCCTGGAGGGACGATTTTTTTTATTTTTTATTTTTTTTTGCTTTTGTTTCTTAAATCCTGTCCTCTCTTTCCTGCCTGGTAAGATAATGATCATGAGGGTGCTGTGGAATGTCCCTGGCTGGAGGAATATAAGGGTTATCTTCATTTCCATCTCTGCTGAGATTTACTCAAGAGGACGGGGAGGTGGGCACAAAGCTGTGAAGCCCTCTTCTTCCTCATGTGTAAGAAACCCCCAGTCCCACCTCATGGCTATGAGTTGAGGCTGCAGCCCCTGGCCTGGCTGGTCCTGTTCCAGTGGAGAAACAAAAGGAAGAGGCCTTGTGCAGGAGGCACCCCTGAGGGTCACAGCCTGCTGTTGCCTGCTGCCTGCTGCCTTCCAGGCACCCCAGGAGAACCTGGCCTGCAGTCATAGCCTGGAGCTGCTGCCCGGCCTCAGCCTGGCCTGTGCCCGGGTTCCTTCCTGCCGCAGCCCTGGGCAGAGCAGGCTGACTGGGTAGTGAGAGGGTGGCCTGAGGCCACTGTTCCCAGACTTCTGTCCTGACTCAACCTCCCCGTGTGGGCGAGAACTGGGGCGGGAGTGCCTGGCAGCCAAGGGTTGTCCCCTGTGGGGCGGGTCAGAAGCTGGAGTAGCCACTCTGGGTGGGTATGCTGCCTGTCCCTCTGCAGCTCCTGCAGGGCTTCCCAGTGGTGTCACTGGCAGGCCCACAGGGTGGGTGTGGGCAGAGGAAAGTGAAAGGAACACGACAACAGCATCAGTCTCTAGCACCATCCAAGGGCCAGGTCCTATGCTAGGCTGCATCGACCTGGTAAGATAGAGAATCACAAGCCAGCAGGGGATTTAGCTCAGTGGTTCTGCCGCCTGCCTCGAAAGCACAAGGTCCAGAGTTCCATCCCTGGTACCCCGCCCCCCCCCCAAACTAAGAGAATCACCAGCCTTTGATAACGGCCAGCCCCATTTACTTTCAGTCAACAAATATTTCCTGAGCACATGGGTGCAGCAGGCCCTGCTCTAGACCCCAGGAGATCAGCAGGGGATTTAGCTCAGTGGTTCTGCCGCCTGCCTCGAAAGCACAAGGTCCAGAGTTCCATCCCTGGTACCCCCCCCCCCCCCCAAACTAAGAGAATCACCAGCCTTTGATAACGGCCAGCCCCATTTACTTTCAGTCAACAAATATTTCCTGAGCACATGGGTGCAGCAGGCCCTGCTCTAGACCCCAGGAGATAGCCATGGAAATAGACCCAGTGCTCATGGAACTTACAGTCTATAGTGGAGGGAAGACCATCAATAACCAAAATAAGGGGCGGGGATGTAGCTCAGCTGTACATTGCCTTCCTAGCAGGTGCAAGGCCCTGAGTTTGATTCCTCATACCAAAAAAGAAAAGAAAAGAGATAAAAAATAAAAGCCCCTAGAAAATAACCAAAATAAGCGAGCAAAATATTTGGTATGTCAGATAGTGCAGGTGCTATAGAGAAAAACAAGGAAGGGAAGAAGTGTGGGGCTCCTGGAGCAGGAATGACTCATCAGTGTAAGTAGAAAGGCTGGGGACAGCTCACTGAGAGGATGGCTTTGATTCTGATTCATTAAGAATCATTCATCAGCACAAAAAGCCAAGGATGCAGGTAAGATTATTATTTTCCTCATTAAGGATGAGGAACCTGAGGCCCAAGTGCTGAGTCCAAGTTCAGAGGGCTGGGAAGAAGTGAAATTTGAGCTCATGTTGTCTGTGCTTTGTAACCACAGCATGATATTGGACAGAGAGTGGGGGCGGGGGGAGAAAGAGAGAGAGAGAGGAAATAAGAGGGCGTATGGCGAGCCTTGCAGTGGTGACCATCTGTTTTCCAAACTGAAAATCAGGATACATCGGAACGGGTTTTCCTACTGCTTGAAACAAGAGTGGCTGTCTGGGAGAGGCGGTTTGGATGCCAGCCTGCAGAGTGGTATTTCTGAGACATTCCAGTGGCTTGTGGGGCCCACGAGGCAGTCCAAGGGTAGGGCATTGCCATGGCAACCTCCGCCTGGCCACTGGGCCAGGAGCCTGGTACAGGGCCACATGGCTGAGCCTCTGGGCATGGGCCGAGCCTCTGGGGGCCAGAGGGGCAGCATGAGCCACCAAGCAGCCAATAGGAGGAGCCATGGGTAGGAGAGAGGGATGGGTGTGGCCCACATTCTGGGCCGATCAATCAAGAGGGTGGTCTGGCAGGTTCCAGGAAGCCCCCTGGCAGAAGTCTTCAAGGCAATGTGAGGAAAGAACCAGGGTTTCCCGTTAGCCAAGTTTGGGTTTGAATCATCCCTCTGCAACTTCCTGCTCTGGGGAATGGGCAAGTCACACAGCTCCTTGGAGCTTGTTTGTGCATCTGTGCAGTGGGGCTAGCAACTCACCTGGTGGGATAGTTGCAAAGATTTTCATGCTTTGAGGTAAAGGCAGGAACTGTGTTTGGCATATTGTAGACTCTATAAGTGATTTTGCAGTTCCCCTCCACCTGATAGGGCATTGGGGACACGCCAAGATGGAGATCCAGGAGGAATGGTAAGAATGATGGGGCTTGGGAAACACATGACCCAGTCACCCAGGGCAGTGGCAGGTTCCCAGCCAAGCCCTGCACGTGGATTGGGGCTTCGTCAGCAACAAAGGAACAATACTCTTCCCGGACCCAGTGCAGCAGTGGCAGCCCTCCCTCCCCCAGCTCCCTCCAAAGCCCCAGATCCCTGGATCCAGGCCTGCCACACCTGTTCCCTTCGCATCTCCAGGCAGCTCTGGAGCTCTCTGTGCCAGGGAGCAGCCAAGGTGCCTTAGCAGATAGAAACTCCCACTGGGTGGCTCCTTGTTTTTGCCCAGCTCCCTGAGCCTTCTAGTAAACTCCATTGCTGCTCTGCATTGCTTCTGAAGGCTGTACTCAAAGGAGAAAAAGAGAACACAAAGGGACTTCAAAAGCTTTAGCATCCCCCACCTTCGCTAACTTCCACAGGCTGAGCTGAAGTGTATCCCTCTGGCCATGGCCTTGGCATAGCCAAGGAGAACTGGAATCCAGCCCAACTTTTACCAATAATTCACCACATGACCTTAAGCATCCTCTCTGGGCCTCCTCGCCTTCATTTGTAAAGTGAGGGGTTCAGATCTCTGAAGTCTAATCATGACCTCTAAACGATTGCATTCATTCATTTGTAGTTCTGGTTCATTCACACAAAGCAGTTATCACTTCCTGACATAGTATATTTTTTGTTTGTTTACTGTCTGCCTTACTCTACTCTGACTTTCGAAAGGCAAGAGATTTTGGTTGCTTTGTTCACTTGTGTATCTCTGGTACCTACAAAAAAAGACAATAGGAACTTGTATCTCTCTGTGTCCTAGAACGAAACAAAGATGCATACTCTAGCAGCATGATCAAGGAGACTTCAACAAGGAAAGCATCATTTCTAAAGCAGAAGATAAGGTAAGGAGAACCAGCAGGAATGGAGAACAGCAGGGAAGCCGTGAGCCTGAGGGTGGGACTTGGGACTGCCTGGCCCAGCAGGCCAGGAGCAGGAGAGAGCCTTTGGCAAAGGAAGGAAGCAGCCACTGCCCTCCCACGGCCCAGCAGGGAGGCAAGTGGGGAATCTATGTCTAAACCTCATTCACCTCCTGTGGCCCTGACTGCCTTTGGCTTCCCTGGGGTGGATCCCACCCCGAGCCAAGGTGAACTGTGATCTGGACAGGAATGTGCTCTTTCAGCTCAGCACCTGATAAACATTTGTGAGCCCTGGCCCTGGGCCTGAGTGTGTAGCTGTAGACAAACTCGTGACCTGAGCTTTGTAAAGCAAGGCCTCTGCCCTTTGGGCTGGGTGTTGAGGCCCCTCTTCCTCAGCTCGGGGCTCTCCCATCTGTATCCACTTCTAGGTGGCCAATCTGATTTACACAGTTACACTGACATCATCAGAAAGAGGAGCACCACTGAAAGGAGGCTCCAGGGAGGTGGGGAGTCTGGGTGATGGGAACTGGCTCTGGAGCTCTGAGCCAGTCCTCAGGAAGTGACCTTGAAGTTGTAGTTGAGGTTCCAGAGTCTGAAAGATTCAAATTCCACTCTGTCACTCATTTGCTGGGTGATCTTGGACCTGTTCCTTGATATTTCTGATCCTCTGTTTTATCATCTGTTGGAGGGGGGTGGGGGAAATAGGCTGTAGGAGTTTTGTGAGAATTTAATGAGCATCTGTGCAAAGGGCTTAGCACAGCGCCTGGGCACACTATGAATCTCTTATTATAATTAGAGGCCAAGGGCCACCCCACCCCGCTTCCTGTTTCTCACCCGACAGGGGATCTCCACCCCCTCTCCAGCTCCATTTAATTCTGAGTGTTTTAGGTCATTCTACGCCTGGCGCTCTGCCAAGGCTCTGACAAAGACAGAAGTTTCTGCTCATTCATCCTAATGCAAGTTCCTGCGTTTATGATAATAGGGGAAAATGCTTGAAAGGGCTCGCTGCCTGCAGAGGGGAAATCGGCTTAGAATGGAAAATCTAGCCCTTCCTTGGCTCAGCTCTCCCCTCCCTGCGCTTTGGCAGAGGCTGCAGAAGGGAGGGTAGCAGGGAGGAGAGGAAGGGGAGGCAGAGGAGGTGAGGAAGAGGTGGCCAAGGGGGCCGAAGGGCAGGGAGGGGGCAGGGGCGAGGGCCCGGCGTGCCTGGTGAATGTGTTTTGGGGTGGCTGAGAAAGCCTGCCAGAAAGGCAGAGGGAAAAGGCCAGGCCCTGTGAAGGCTGCGAGCGTTTCCATAGCGACCCCAGCTGCTGCCTTGGCTCGGGCACTGGTGGCTCCATCTCAGGGCCTCGCCCGCCACCACATGGTTACCCCGCTCAGTGAGGAGGAAGAATCCGGTGGGTTGTCTTGGCCCAGGGTGTCACCAGGCAGTGCCACTGTGTCCCGGGAGAGAGGGATCAAGGAGGTGTCCTCAGGGCCTCTGGATCAGCACCTCGAGTGGTCCAGAGGGAGGGACAGGCTGCCGTGCTGTGAGGCCAGACCAGCTGGGGACAGGTTTTTGGAGGCCTGGGCCTTGGGTGAGAAATGGTGAGGCCGCTGTACCCACCGAGAACCCACAGAGGATGGGAGAGGGTGGGTCAGGGCGGCCAGGGCAAACCTGGCAGGAAGTGGAGGAGGGAGGTTCAAGTGGTCAGCTTGGTGCTTGGTTGGAAGGAGGGATGATGAGAACTCTCTTATTCTGTTCTTGTCTAGCTCCCCAGGTCTCCCCAGCCCTGAGCCTACAGAGACTCAAATCTGGGTGGGGTTCCAAGGTTGTTGACTGAACAAATGGAATGAAGAGTGATAAGAAAGAGTGGAAAACCAGTAGGGGTTAGAGATGTGCTTGACTCAGACACATACACACCAGTCCCCCAGACGCCACACTTGAGGACCCTCCTGCTGAGACAAAGACCTGCCGGCCTGTCCTGTGTGCACACTCTCACTGAATTTTGTCACCTACATGTGTGACTTTTTTGTTTCAGTGGTCATCTTAGCATTCATATTGGTTTTTCACCAATTGATTGCAGTTCTGTTTTGTTCTGTTCCCACGCAGAGCTCCTTTTACAAGCCAGGACAGGGCGCAGCCTTTTCTCCTGGGCCTTAAAGTGGGTCTGTCTACACAAGCAGTGTGTGGGTTTGCAGGGTCTGGTGCTCAATTCGCAGCAGGTGGTTGCTTAACATAGAGAGGCCCTTAGTGGAGGCCCAGTGTACTCCCAAAGCATCTTTGGCAGCCTTCTTGTAGGTGCCAGCCCCCAGGTTGCTCAGTGAACACAGAGCTGTGAGTGGACATAGCTACCTGTGCCATTTTTATGGAGAACTGGCTGATGAAGGTGCCTTTACTGGGAGCCCCTCGCCTGCCCCTGTGTCCCCCAGGATGCGCTTGATGCTTGGTGATGAACCTGGGGGGGCTCCCATGTATATCCAGGACCACCCTGTCCCTCAGCCTTGACCTCCCAGGCTCCCTTCTCTAGTGCACTCCCTCTCTCTAACTCTCCCCTAGTTTTCATTTTGTAGCACTCTGATGCCATCTGTAATCGTCCGTCCCCCCCTGCCCCCCCGCCCCCGTAATCAGGGAATTAAACCCATGGCCTTCGCACTGAGCTATATCCCCAGCCCTTCCTTTTTAAAATTTTTATTAGTGCATATCTGTAGTACATAATGATTATATTCATTGTGGGGAATTGGTACGCATACGTAATAGATCTTAATTCTTTTTACTTCCCCTTCCTCCCCTCCCTCTCAAAGGATTTCATTTGATGGTTAATGCCCTTTAAGGTGGTAGTCATGGTTTGTAAAACTTGTTTTCAGCACTGGGGATTGAACCCAGGGCCTCTTTTATGCTAGGTAGAGTGCCATTGAGCTACATCCCCAGCTCTGGTTTTTTTGTTTGTTTTTTGTTTTGTTTGTTTTTGGTACTGGGGATTGAACTCCGGTCCTTGTGCTTGCGAGGCAGGCAACAGAACCACTGAGCTAAATCCTCAGCCATCTGTTTGTTTTTTTATTTTGTTTTGTTTTTTAAATTTTGAGACAGGATTGCCCTAACAAGCTAAATTGTCCATGCTGGGCTCAAATTTGCAATCTTCCTGCCTCAGTCTCCCAGAGTGCTGGGATTATGGGTATATACCACCATGCCTGGCTTGTAATTGTTTTGTTATTTACTTGTTTATTGTCAAATGTTTATTGCTTGAGTATAAAGTCACAATGGAGGAACTTTGTGAAGATTGTTTGCCAGTGAAGTTTCAGTACCTAGAATAGTTTCTGGCTATCGGGATGTGCTCAGTTTTTGCTGGAGAAATTAATAAAGCATGAGTGAATGGATAAACCAGGAGAACTGACCAGTTTTTTTCTTTTTTTTTTCTTCCCCAGTACCGGGGATTGAACTCAGGACCTTGCCCTTATGAGGCAGGTGCGGTGCCACTGAGCTAAATCTCCGGCCCGAGCAGTTTTTTTCTTAATGCCTTCCTCTTCTGATGGGATTTAGGGGGGCCCTTGAACATTTTTATTTCCATCTGTTTCCAAGAAGGGCTGGATTCTAAATCTCCCTGGAGCCTAGACAAGGGCAAGACGATGGCTGGTTTTTATTTTTGTTTTGTTTTGTTGAAACAAAACTGCTATGTAGATCAGATTGGCTTTGAACTCACTATATAGTCCAGGCTGGCCTCGAATTCAGAATGTTACCAGGTTTTGGGATGCTGGAATCTCCTTCTAGAAATTGTTTCTAGGTTCTTTCTGTCTTGAGCAAAAAAATTGACCAAGACAAGCACAAAAGGTAGAAAGATTTTACATTTATTGAAGTTAGGAAAAGAAAAGAAACAGGCTAATTAAAAGTAGGAAAAGAAGCATGTTCTACAGGGTGCTAGCAGACCACTGTGCGAGAGAGCACAGTGGCCTGGAACTCAGCAACAGCCTTTTTTTTTTTTTTTTTTGAACCAGGGGTTGAACTCAGGACCTTGTGCCTGCCAGGCAGGTGCTGTATGCTGAGCTACATCCCTGCCGCTCGGCAGCCATCTTTTGTATCTCCCAGGCCTCAGACTGACGTCATCTAGGTTGTCCTATCAGAAACCTGCTCACGTTCTTTCAAGAAGAATTGAAGGGCTGGGGATTTAGCTCAGTGGTTCCACTACCTGCCTCACAAGTGCCTGGTCCTGAGTTCGATCCCTAGTACCGAAAAAAAAAGAGATGATAATGTGGTTTTTGTTGGGCCAGGGATTTAGCTCAGTGGTTTCAGTGCCTGCCTGGCAAGCACAAGGTCCTGAGTTTGATCCCCATTACCAAAAAAAAAAGAGGAAGAATGGAAGACAGCACTCTTTGATTGGCTCCATGTGCAGGGCTCTGGAAACTGTTTAGTGCCTATGTCCTGGGACTTTGCAATTAACAAGTCACGCCCACTTCCCCAGCCAGTCTGCCATGCACTGATCTCCTGCCTGGAGAATTTAGGAGGATCCTCTGGCCTTTTGAGTGCTGGGATTACAGTCCTGTACCACCATGCCTGGCAAAGGTGCTGTTTATTACCCATCCAACCTTCCCTGCATGCCAACAGCTGCCAGGCGGTATGTGGGAGGCAGCAGGCTCAGCAGTAGGAAGACAACAGGGTCTCTGATCTCTCATGGTTCACATTTTAATGAGATAGACTGACAATAACATAAATGAATGAGTGAGTGGATGTCTACACTTCAAGTGATATTGATGAAATTAAAAGGCCTGTAACAGAATATATAAGGAAATCAAATTTATTTATTTATTTATTTATTTATTTATTTGGTACCGGGGATCGAACTCAGGACCTTGAACTTGTGAGGCAGGCTCCATGCCACTGGACTAAAATCCCCAACCCCAAGGAAATCAAATTTAGATAAGGCAGTTAGGGGAGGTCTTTGTAAGAAGTTGCCACTCTAACTGAGAACTAAAAGTTAAGAATGAGCCGGATGAGTGTAGAGCTAATGGAATGA